GAGCCAAAGGCAGACGCATAACAACTGAGCCACCCAGGCGCCCCTCTGACTTGTTTTTTTTTTACCATTAAAAAAAATCAAGCAATTATAAGGCCCCAACCACCATAAAGGGTTAGCTTTGACAATATATCATCAGTGTCAGTTACAAAAGAGAAATGAGGGACTAGTAACAGGGACTAATAATTTAAATTATTTGCAATAAACTTAATAGTTAAAAACAAATTATTCAGATGCATGATCTCATTTGATGCTCAGAATAACTGAGATGAAATGGGCAAAGGCAGAAGAAAGCCTAAAGCATGGAGAGGTGAACATACCTTTTCTCAAAAAGGACATGAACGTGGGTTTTCTGAATCCACGTCTAGGACTCTTTCCACTATACTACTCTGTCACCATGGAATGGAAAACATATACTTTGCCAGAGTCTATTAGAATATTAGATGTCTCCTTCCTGATGTCACCTCAAATCCCCAATAAGCATCTTGTAGGCCCATAGTAGCAGCCTACTATATACAAATGTGTTGGTTGGTGTTCATAAAGCAGAGAAAAGCTAAATTGTGACACAGCCAATGGATTTCAGATGTTCAAAAATCTTCATCAGTGTCATTTCTGAACAAAACTGTCATATATAAAGTTCCCTTTGTTACCTCCAGCCTTTCATTTCAATAATACTTTCCCCCTTTTATCTCCTATTGTCTTGTTCTAAAATGCCTGCACTCTTTCTGTAACTTCCTGCACGGAAGTCAAATACTTCTGATACTTGCAAGCATTCTGTTCTTTTTCTCAGAATCCATAGTAACATTCGATGCCCGCATCTACTAGGGTGATCAAAGAAATGATCATGCTGGGGCTGCATTATCACTAACTGTGAGAATCACCCTTTCCAAATGTCCCTGCTGGACATTTGTGCTCAAGCCACCCCCTACAGGGATTGGCAAGCACAACATTTGAGCTTGAGTTCCACTTGGCTACAGACAATAAATAGAATTTCCAAGGGGAGAAAACTGAACCTCTAGTTTTTTTGAAAGTGGATCTATTTCTACTTGTATCTGAAACACCTCTTGAGCTGATAACTCCTTAGAAAATGAAGGAAACCATATTGCATGCAAATGTAGGTTTTAATGTCACACATCACACTTTCAAATTTAGGTCTCCAGACATAGAAAAAAATTAGTGTGCATGGCATGCACAAAGAAGTGGAGTGAATAATTATCTCCCGGCATTATCCATTCCAGATTCTATTCCAAAATGAATGCTATAGTGGAATGTATTTATTCACATTGGGATGAAACTTAGGATATAACTCTAAGTTAATTTTATTTTCAAAGAAAATTTCATTAAAATAGATAAAGGCTTTGTTTCAAAGAGACAGAATCGGAACTAATGCATTTTGCCCAGGTTTGAGCATTTCATTTGGCCTCCTTAAAAGCTTAATGTTTAAAGTGGCATTCTCAAGATACAATAACACTGACAAAGGAGTATTTGATAGAATGATGGAGTAACACCATGATAAATCAACTGACAATGAGACAAATCACCCAAGTGGGGAAAGTGGCCCCTCTGTTGACATAGAATCAATATTTACCATGGTTTCAGAACCAGGTAATTGTGAATGGACATAGCTTGTGTTTTCATCTGAACTGAAGATTTTGAAAATTTATGTTTTGACAAGTTCTGACCCAGGTCTCTATGGATCTTACAGATGGAATGCAATTGGCAACTCTGACTCATGACTTTGTTTATACACTTGTGCTTCAGCACATCAGAAAAGCTATTTTTTTCCCTGTAGTTTCTAAGAATGGCTCTCAATTACAGAGCCTAAGTCTGATTCATTTCTGGTCCCCTTTTCTAGCTTACGGTCATTTTTCTTCTTGTATATGTGCCCATTATGACATCTTTCAGAGTCCATCAGAGATATGGAATAGACATGAAATATTTTACTGACTTGAAAGTATTCAGGAAAGATTCCTTCCAATAAGAAGAATTATGCATATGCATTTCCTTTTCCCTTGCCAGTGTATGGCAGCAAGGAAAACAGAGAAGCACTAATATTTAATAAGACATCTAGAAAAGCCATTCCCTTTACCTCAACAGCCCATATTTCACTCTTCCTTTTATTTTTGTGGTCAGATCTTGCCCTTCTGTCTTATTAATTATTATTATTGTTTTCAACATCATCATCATGTTTATTGTTATCATAGCAATTTGTTTTTTTTGTTTTTTTTTTAGCATTTACAGCGTGCCTGTCACTATTCCAGATACAGTCACATTTCCCAATCACCCTTCATTTCTACCTACTATATAAAATTTCTCATTGGTACATTGCTAATCAACTATACTAAGTTACAATAATACTAGAGTGTTCTTCCTAGCATCCTCACTGTTACAAGTTCCTTATTATCTCTTTTATTTCTTTCTCCTCAGCTCAGCTAAGATCATCTTTGCTAGTCACTGTGACCACTGGTTGGTTCCTCAAAAGTTCCTACCCTCAACTTCTACTACAACTAATTGGAAGCACTAATCTTCATAACTGATCTACATTTTCATCTATTTCTTGGTCCTTATTTCCTCATTCCAGAGAAAAGAATGACTTCATTTCCCTACATTGTGTATGTGTGCGTATTTGTGTGTGTGTATGTGTGTGTGTGTGTAAATATATATAACGCGCTCCCTCTCTCTCTCTCTCTCTCCCTCTCTCTCTCTCTCTATATATATATATATATAAAACTCTCTCTATATATATATCCCTGCCTTCTCAGATGCAGTGTTGGGTGGGTTGATAAAACATAAATATGCAAAAGAACCATATTAGACATATAAAGTTTCATGGGAATACCTAGGAGTTAAAATTATTTTACTCTAAAATAATGGGGAATGTTTTACATCCAGGAAGAGCTAAGATTCTCTGAATAAAGAGAATTGTGGGAGCTGTTAGGTAATTACTCTGATATAAATGGTTCATGTAAATAAAATTTATGAAAGAGGATCAGGGTTCATTGATGTGGAGAGTTAAAAGGAGTGGGAGACAAAACTCAGTGAACTCCATTAATGTTCAAGTCTTAAAGGATATCTACCCCATTTCCCTTTTATAAGTCTTTAAAACATCCTGTGCTCAGGTCTTTAAGCAGTGGAAAGATCTCAAAAACATGGCCATGCTTTCCTATACTTGATATTCTCTCCATTTATTTATCCTTTAGAATCATGAGAAATGTCATTTCCAAAAGGTGACATCCCCAGAAGAACCAGAAAAAAAGCTGTGTGAAAATGATTGCTCATTCTATGTGGTCATTTAAAGTAGCAATGGCAACATGGTTGTTTGTTTTATTACTCTGCATTTTTCTCCCCTTTTGAAAAGTGACTTCTAGAATATAATGAATAATAGCTGCTATTAAACAAGAGGCTCATAAACTTGAAACAATTTTCCATCTCTGGGCCTTCTCTATGAAACCTCCCATGAATAGCTTAATAGGAAATCATCTCTTCATTTGTTGGAATCCTGTAGCATTTTTTCTGTACTTCTTAATGTTACTTAACTACTTATTTCTGTCTCATAATGTATATTAATTTATAACTATTCATGTAACATCTACTCTCCCCACTAAAATTTCTGACAGTAACACCCAAACCTGTTTCATCTCTCAACTTTTCAATGCATGCAGTAGTTGGTATTTCCCATATAGTTCAGACTCAGAAGTTATTGAATGACTAAGTGAATAAATATAGGAATGAGTGGTACCACTGAAAGCTCATTCTCAACTTGTTACTCATAGGATTTTATTTCAAATGTTGACTTCCAAAGCAATGACCACAAAATTAGTATGAAATAGGATGAGCATGAAAATTGTTTTCAGGAAAATTGAGCTTTGAACTTAGATCTGTTGTTTCTTTTGGAAATACTCTATAAATCAGATATACTTGTTTTGTCAAAATTATGACATAGCTCTTTATAAAATGTGCCCTTAGCTGGGTATATTCAGAGGTGTAGCATTTAAAGAAGAAATGAATCTAGAATTTAGTTTTCATGCTCATATTTGCCAATAATAAAAATTAATCAAAACTCAAGGAAAGCAATCTAATTAAATCGCTAATAAGCAAAATCAAAGCAATGGAATTACAACATAATATCTAGAATATTATAGGATTCTTCTTTTATAAAATATTATAAACACTCCACAATGCATTATGTTAAATTACAAGATAAAATGCAATTGTCATTTAAAGTATGTATTTAAAAACTAAACCATCAAAAATAATTCATTCATTAATAATTTGTTCTTATTTTGTATAAAAATAAACCAAATAGATAAAAAGTAATTTCTACAGATGATTAATTACATTTTTATAACATTAAATAAACAAAAACATCAAACTTTTTGGTTTTTTTCTAATTGAACAAAGGAAGTATCCACCATCTTTGACATGTGCACTTTACAATTCTATGATCTTTGTTAATTTTAGATAAACAATTTCAAATAAACAATTAAAATGTTTAAACAAAAAGAAACCAAAGATTTCTGATACATTGAATTAGAGTCTCTTGCCACAATGTTGAAAAATGAGAGAGGCCTGAAAGTGTGTAAAATGGCATGTTTTATATTGAGATTTAAACTTCACTTTGGGAGTAGGTATTCAAAACGAAAACCAAAGATTTTGAATAATCATTGAATCTTGTATGAATCCTGGTAGACACTCATATAAGTCAAATCCATCATTTACTCTTGGATTCATTTCTAGTCACACTCCCACTTAAGATAAAATAGGGAATGTAGCAATAATCTCTGATATTAGTTTTCTTTGTGGAATAGAATACAAATGAGGAAAGTTTTCAAAAGTGGCAAACAATATATAAAACTCAAACTATTAAATTGGCTAGCTCAAAAGAATGCCAAAATGAAATGAATACTATACTATTTTATAATAAAAAGCCCTTAAAACTTATTTCAGATTATTCAAACATCTAGATTTCCCACAGGCTTAATATAAATTTAAATGGAACCTACCTTTAAAATTTGGCCTGATTCTTGCATCGTATCCTGATGTCCTTCCCATTAATTTGTCCAAGAAATCTGAAGGCGATAGGGTCTGTGAAGGTTGTTTTCCAGACCTGGAGTCATGGTCTTTGCAGAAAGCCGTCCTAAACACATCATTAACTTTTTTAGCAACAATTCCATTCTCATTGCCTGAGAACTAAGGCTCACAAAATGTTTGACATTATGTTTTAATATACATGATAGTAAGAAGAAAAAGAAAATTACAAACTCTATGGTCAACTTCTGAATTTGTACATTCTCTAAAGTTAACTTTAAATGGTGAGAGTTAGAAATCCTGAGTCATATCTCCCAGATGTCCAAACTGTAGCCATAAAGATGTTTAAGATGATACAACATGCATAGCTTATGTTGTAGATTTTATGGACATATAGTTAAAGCTGTTTCTTTCTAAACTCATCAGAGAAATGAAGATGATAGTTTCTAAAATGTGATTGTCTTAAAATCATTCCCCCATGACTCTCAAACAATTCTTCCAGCATTTTAGCCCTTAATATAAGTCCTCTACTTTTTATTAGAAATATATAATACAATGGGCAGAACAAAGTAAACAGTGAACTAATTATTCCATTGCTTATTTTCTCACCTGCTAGATTGTATTCCTGCTATCAACTGTTAATAATTTTCAATGCATTGCCTAAAAGAAAAGCTTCACTTGGAAATTTAACTTCATTCTAAAATAGGTCAATAATAAGTGTGTCTGTACTTCTATTACCTTATCAGATGTTATTTATATATTAGCATTTAAATTGTTCACTCTCCAGTAAAGTATTCATGAAAAAGAACTTCTAAATCATTTTCTCTTCTGCATTATCAAAAACACTAAATGTTGACTGGAAAATTTCTCATACTTTCATTTTCTTTAAAGGGCTTATAAAAAGAGCCTATTTGGTTTGTAGTGAAATGGATTCTTTTGCAATATACATAGTGGTTGACTGAATGTCTGTTTCTTCCCTAAAGCATAATATTTTATAAGCTTTGTTTTTAGTAGTTTAACAAATAATCTTGTTAATTCTATCACTGAGAAAACACCACATATTTGCCAGTTTTTCAAGGTAGTATTAAATGCAAAGTATTAAGTGCAAAGAGAATTTAAACATTTGGTAAGAGTTAAAAATTAATACAATTATCTAAAAATACTCACATTCCCATATGCAGATTCATCTGATTAATCAAGTATTATTTAATTATGATGGTGGTGGTGGTGGTAATGAAGGTGATGATGATGATGATGATGATGATGATGCTTCTAATGAAACCCAGCCTACAGTTTTTTCTTAATCATAGTAGGTGTGAACCTGAAAGGAACATAGTGGGTTTTCCCAGTACTCATAACATTAGCTATATGTTCCATTTCTCTTGGTTCTGTGAAAAAATACCATAAAATTTGGTGAAAATTAAATGAAGAGTCCTACACTTTGTTGTATGAACATCTCCTGTCTCCATGCTGTCTTAGAACCTCTGCCATTAGGATGGCTATTTCACTTACTGGTAATCATCTGATACTTTGAAGCATAAACTGATTTGATAATTTATAAGCTAGGTAGAAAATGCACGCATGAAATAATGATTTCCCACTTATTTTAATTATGCATAGCCCATTTCTCATGCACAGATAAATACAAAGATGTCATATTAATTAAATTTTGGTAGTCATTCAGTTTCCAAATATACTGAGCAATGGAACATAGTAGTAAAATGAGATTTTAAATATTTTTGATGTTTCAAGAAATTTCCTGAATTGTAGTGCTCATAGTATGCATCTAGTTGCTGAAACACAATAGAAGTTTCAAGTTGACTAAGAATTAGGGTTCTTTTATATTTTATATAAAATGAGCATGCTTCTTGTAAATTAATCCAATCACTTCCACCATATGAGAAGCATTGCATCCAATAATCATTTTAAATGACTTTCAGAAGAATTTGAAAGCAAAAAAAAATCATCATTATATAGAAATGTAAAGAGCATGCAACTCATTAGACTTCCTTAATATCACATTGCCTGTGAAAATGTGTGGAAATGCATAGAGTGGGGTTATGGATCATAAAACTTGCCTTTGTGAAAATTTACCACCCTCCCACCATAATTATGCCTTTTAAAAGAACAAAAGAAATCTAACTCTCCTCTATAAAATTAAAATAATATGGTCCAGGGCATAGAAAAATAGATAAAAAAATGTATGACATGTTCTCTTTCAAACAGTTTTCATGGGGAAAATATCAGCATGCAAAGTCGTTTCACCTACCTGAAGTGGTTTGTCTCTAAGAAAAATGCAAACAAGGCTGTCAAAATGTTCACTAGCTGCCGGTTCATTCCTGTTTCTGTGATGCTTGTGGAAAATATCCCCGAAATGATTCCAGAAAAAAGCTAGGACAAAGTATCTATTTATTGTCCAGATTCGAAATCTGGCAGGAATCTAGTTTCCTTGAAAATCAAAAAGAGATTTGGGTTTGTACAGTTTGCTGAGAAAAAACAAAAAGTGCCAGTCCTAGGCATCATGGTCAGGTCAAACCGGGGCTCAGGACCATCAGCTAACCAAGGAAAGACAAAGCCTTAGAACTGATGGATTCCCCAGCTGCTTTTCCCGAATAATAAAAATGCCGCTACCTTAATCGCATCACCATGCAAAGGGGGCTGGTGACAATGCCATGCTGGAAGTCGGGTTGCTGTGGCTTTTGTTTTATGTCCTTTCTGTTTAGCAAATCCCTTTTCTCTAGAAAATGTTCTCTTTTTAAAAGAAGTTGTAAATGAGAGAGAAGAAAGGACTCTGCGCGCTGAAGTGGGCACGGGGGAAGAGGGCAAAATTGCTGAGATCCTGTGCTGGAATGAGAGCTACAGAAAGAGACGGGAGACGTGATCTTACCCAGCCTATAAATTTCAGCACTCGGACAGCTCCTAGCTCTGAAGTGCGCATGTTTCCTTTTTCAGTCGCTTGGGGCGGGGGTCGGGGAGAGGCATTCAAGAGGGGACAAGCCTGATGTTCAAAGGCAAAGAGTGGCTTGCTGTTCAGGGAAAGGGTGCTAAAGGGGGGTGTGATGACAATCAGGGGAGAGCAGAGGTCAGGGTAGACGAGGAGGGTGAAGGAGGTTAGGGTCTGACCCCTAGAAATGCGAGTCTGTCGGTGGGTGGGCGGAACGGGAGTTTAAAGCAGAAAAGGGAATACGGTTAAGGAGTGGGAAAGGGAAATTGGGAGAAGCAGAAAACAGAATCCGGAGTACCGAAATTATAATAGGGGAGTGGGTAGTTCACTCCTTGCCAGTGGAACCTTGAGGCAAAAGAGGAGTCCTGTGCTGAAGAGGAAGGGACATTCTCTTGACATAGACAAGTCCGTGCGCCGAAAAAGGTTCATGAGGATCAATAATTTAATTTAGAAGCCCTTTATGCCTTCCTCGCCCCTTGAGTGTTTTCGTTTGATTTTAGCCGTCTGCTCCCAAAGGATCTCTACCTCTCTACTAGAGAAAGTCCCTTCCGCTGAGCTTTCTTCGGTGTCTCAAAATCCTTGGGCATCCTATTCAAGTCAATTTGTAGAGGAGGAAAAATAGAACAGGCCAGCAGGGGGCAGTAGCAATCTTTTTCTGCCCTGATTAAAGGTTAGAGTAGGGCTTCATGTAAGAAACAGAAAGGAAGGGCGCGACTGAGGGTTGAGTTTTCATCAGTCCATTCCAGATGTTAATCACCAGGGAGGTCCATGCAATAAAGTGTAGATGTTCTCCTAAACTGGCTAAGGAGACAGAAAATAGTGAAAGTTTATAAATCCTATACAAAAGCATGACAGGTAATCTTGTTTCAAAGTAAATTTACAAATATTATTATTACTAAAAGAGGAAAAATAAATAGTTCAATGCAATTTTAATTAGCAGCTTCTGGTAAGGGGAAATGAAAAATACATGTTCTACCATGAGGTGGGTGAGTAACCTACTATTTGCCTGTAAAATATATCTCGTTAGTCACCTAGGCACTCTACTGCAGGTCTTAATTTTAAAACAGAATGATTAGTTTTTAGTCCATAAATGACTAATCTGCCCTTGGATTAATTCAATATCATAGCAGAGGAACAAAGGATTCTATATGTTTAAAAAGTAGGTTCTGAAAAAAATTATTAAGTTCTTTTTACCTTTTAATGTTAATGTAAATCACCTGAGGATCCTGTTAAAATGCATATTCTGATCTAGTAGGTCTGAGGTGGTGCCTTAGATTCTGCATTTCTAATAAATTCCTAGCTGAGGTTGATGCTACTGGTCCACCGATCTCACTTTCAGTAGCAACAGTTTATATGACCTTTTATCAGATTTCTGTCCTACCAAGACAGTGAGAATATAGGAACCTCTCTTTAGATGAAAAGCAGCCAGTGCCCAAGCATTCTGCTTACATACAAAATCAATTATTTGGATGTGTTTTTTTAGCTCTCAAAGCCCAGAAAAGGTGATTCAATTTAAAAGGAAAATAGTACAGTGTAGTGTGAGACATCCCTGGACTGCAGCTTCGAAGCTGTTCACTTCCAAATTCATCCACATGGAAACTCTAGACCTGATTTTATCCCTGCAGTCCTGACCCAAAAAATAAAACCAATTCTTGGAAATATATTTCTTCAATTGATGCTATGGAAAAATCATATAAGAATTTTTTTGTGCTCAAGATTCTTTTCAAAAGAAAAAATATATATGTAAATGTAGAAGAGAATGATTTGTCCCAAGTTTGAGGCTGTAATGACGCTTAAGGTAACACGGTCTTTGCAAATCATTTCTTTCAACGGCAGAGTCTTTTTATTAACTAGGAGTGAGGTGAGTAGGGAAACCTATAACAAAGAGAGGCTCTGACCAGCAGCAGGAAATCACAGCATTTACTATTTTAAAGTTGGAAGGGACTTTAAAGAGGATCTAGTCTAGCCTCCTCATTTTTTAAAGATTTTTTATTATATTATTTTTATTATTTGAGAGAGAGAGAGAGCATGCGTGCGCATGAGCAGGGTGAAGGGCAGAGGGAGAAGCAGACTCTCCACTGAGCAGGGAGCCTGATGCAATGCGGGACTCGATCCCAGGACTCCAGGGTCATGACCTAAGCTGAAGGCAGATGCTTAACTAACTGAGACAGCCAGGCGTCCTAGCCTCCTCATTTGACTTTTCAGCTCTTTCCAATTTGGATTCCAGCTCTATCATTCCACAGAAACAGCTCTCACTAAGTCTTAACAATGAATTCCTTGTAACTCAGGCCAAAGGATATTTTTCTGTTGTCATAGTATTTGACATTTCCATTGCCCTGAACATTATTGGTCTCTTTTCCCTTCTTTTTTAAAAATTAGTTTTATTTTATTGTGGTAACAACACTTAACATGAGATCTATTCTCTCAACAGATTCTTGAGTGTGCAGTGCAATATTGTTAACTGTAGGCACAATGTTGTACAGTGGATCTCTAGAACTTACTCATCTTGCATCCCTGAAACTTTATACCCATTGATTAGCAACTCCCCCGCTTCCCCCCTCTTCTCCGTCCCTAGCAACCACCATTCTGCTCTCTTGAAGCAACTTCCTCCCTTGACTTTGTGATGCAGTGTACTCCTAGCTTGCCTCCATTCTGTCTTCTTGGCAGGCATATCCTACTCTACCTGGCTTATAAAAGTTAGATTTCTTAAAGGCTATATTCTAGGTTCTCTCTTCTTCTCATACTATACTCTCTTAGACAATATTTTGCACATCCATGCCTTCTATTACCCTCATACACAGATGGCATGCAAATACATATATTTCTATCCAGACCTGTACATCCAATTGCTTCCTAAACAATTCCTGCTGGATGTCTCAAAGGCTCCTCAAATTCCCCATGTCAAAACCAAACTTTTAATACTTCCTCCAAAAACATTCCTATCCTACTGTGCCTGGTTCATTGTTGCCAACCAAAAGCCAAGGCATCATCTCTAAGACTCCCTCTCCATCACCCACCATATTTAGTTCTTCACCAACCCCTATTGATTTCATCACTCCTATGTTTCCAAATCTGTCCGTTTTTCTCCATATCAACTTCCACAACCCCAGCTGAGCATTCTTATCTCTTCTTTGTATTGTAGCAATAGTTACCTTACTGTCTATCTGAACCAAGAGCTGATCCTCCTCCACCTCATTCTATACACTCTAGCCAGAGTGGTTGTTTAAAAATCAAAATTTGATTATATCATACCCCCTGATTAACACTATGACTTTCCATTGATCTTTGGGTAGAACAAAAAAACTACATAATGTGACCTAATAGTTCCACGTGGTCTGGCCCATGCCTACATTGTCCTTCATCTTGTCCCCTACTCATCTCATTTCTTCCCCTATAGCTATATTGGTGTCTTTTTAGTCCCTCATGCTTTCCATATTGCTTAATCCCAAGGAATGCCTATGCCTCCCATTTTGTCTTGTTAATATCAACTTATTTTTCAAATCTCTGCCCAAATGTTATTTCCTCAAAAAAACCTTGCCTGACTTGTCAACTCTCCCTGATAGTCTTCCTTAGTACTCAGCAACTCTGAGTCAAAGAGCTTGTATTTTTATGTATACATATGTATGATTAATTGCCTAAGTGATGAGCTTTGTAGTGGACAGGGACAGCATCTGTATTAGACTATCATTGTATCCTCATACATTCACTGATAATGATAAGAATCACAATGGTTTTGATGATGATTAAGATACAATTTTTAAAATCCATCCAGAAGTGCTGCTTAAACAAAACAATATACTTAAATATGTATAGTTTTGTCAAAAATTGTCACAGGGAATTAACAAATGAAGAACTATGATTATTTGAAAGGAAACCAAGCTCAGTGGCTCATGAGTCTACAGCATGAGATGAAAATACAAGTAAGAGATTAGGAATCTGATATCTTGATTCCAGTTCCAACTCTAACACTGATCAGTTATGTGACCTTGGGTAAGCCATTTAATCCCACTGAGCCTCATTTTCAGCATATGTAAAATACAGATGATAATATTGCTGTATAAAATACTACTATATGGAATACTCTTGAAAGTCATATGAAATCATAGCCGAGGATGTGTTTTTAGTCTCTTAATCTCAGTTCTTAACATCTATTGACTGCTAAAATTCATGTTTTGACTTTATCCCTTGGGCAGTTCCACTTTCAAGCACAGTAAGTCTCAGGAGCTTAGAAAAGGTCTTATTTGCAATGCAATGGAATCCTGAAGTTGAATGCACCTATGCTTCTAAATCACCAAATTACAACTAGTTGAGGCATGTGGCACCCTCATTTTGTACTCTTCTTATCAAAGCAATGAGAAAATTCTGACCCATCCTATAATGTCATAAAGATCAATATACAATATTTGGTCTATATGATGCTACATATTAAAAATTTTCTAAATAGATATAAACAAACAGAGACATGTCTTATGAACATCAGCTTGTTTGAAAATCAGTATCATTTACTAACACTGATAAACTTCTAACATATACAATGCTTTATCATTTTCAAAATACTCATACTATGTGGTAGGCAGAACAATGATTAATCACCATTTTCTTTCCAATGAGGAATCTAAAGTTCATGTACGTTGATCAATTGTCCCATGTTCACATGATTATTAAATGACAAAGTCATACTTTCTATATTTACTACCCAAGTGAGCAGACTTATTTCTCATTGTATGTATGATGGATCTTATTTTTGAAATCACTGAAAACCTACTATATACCTATTTTTAAACTATTTTTAATCACTGTGTTTATTATTCCATTGTAGTAAGTGCAGGGCATTTTGGTCTCCATTATATTGAGATCCAGTTACCCATAAGTGACAAATGAAAACACATTATTAAGAGTCTCAAGGTTGATTTTCTTAGGGAAAGAGTTCAAAGATGTCTA